GCCGCCGAGCGCGTCCTGAGGCAGGCCCAGCTGCTGCTGCAGCGGGGTGGCCGCGGTGGGGGCCGCGGACGCCGCGGCCGCGGCGCTCGCAGCGGGCGAGGGGGACGCGGAAGGGCCGGGCAGCGTGACCACCTCATCCAAGGACGACAGCGGCAGCGGCTGCCACGGCGCTGCCGCAGGCGCAGGCACGGGTGCCGCCACGGGCGCAACTGTGGTTTGCAGGGGCCCCGGCACAGCCCCCGGGCCGGGCGGCGCGGCCGGCGCTGCGTGCTGGGGAGGCTGCGGCGGCTGCGGGTGTGGAGGCTGACGTGCTGAGGCGGGCGGCTGGGCGGGCTGCGCCTGCTGAGGCGCCTTCGGGGGCGCCTGCTGCTGCTGCTGCTGCTGCTGCTGCAGCTGCTCCTGCTGCTGCTGAGTTGTGTGCGCTGGCTGTTGCTGGACCGGGCGAGCAGCAACCGGCGGGTGAGGTGCAACGCCAACAGGCCTGGGTGGCGCCTGCGCCTGGGGGGCACGCTGCGCCGGCTGCGGCGCACGCGTGTGTGGCCCCGGCGGCGCCACCTGCGGGTGCGCAGGGACGGCAGCGGGGGTGGCGGCCCGGCCCTGGGTGCCGCTCAGCGGCCGCGGCACCAGCTTTACGGCCGCAGGCGCGTGCTGCTGCTGCTGCTGCTGCTGCTGCTGCGGCGGCGGCGGCGGCGGCTGCTTGACTGGGGCCCGCGCCGCGGGCTGCGGCACAGGCGGCGGGCCTGTCTGTCTGGGCCCTTTGGCCGCCTGCCTTCCAGTCACTGGGACGGCGGGCCCTGGCCTCTGCACCGGCCCCTGCAGCTGGGCGACAGCGGCGCCCTTGGCCCCAGCCGCGCCGGCCTGCCTCGGCCCCGGCGCCGCAGCCGCAGCTGCGGTGCGCTTGGCCGCCGCTGCCGCCGCCGCCGCCGCCGCCGCTGCTGCCGCCGCCGCAGCGGCCGCCGCCTCTCGCTCTTTCTGCTGCTGCTGCTCGCGCAGCGACGCCTCCTGCGCGCGGCGGATCAGCTCCTGCTCGCGCCGCATCAGGTCCGCCTCGCGCGCGGCCTCGATGGCCACCAACTCGTGGCGCCGCCGCTCCAGCTCCGCCTCTAACTCCGCCTCCCTCGCCCGCCGCGCCTCCTCAAGCGCCGCCTGCCGCGCCCGCGCCTCCGCCTCGCGCCGCGCCGCTGCCTCCTCCGCGGCGGCGGCCGCCTTTCGCGCCGCCGCCTCCTTGGCTGTCTTGACCGCGCCCTTCTTGCCGCCGGGCCGCCCGCCGGTGGCGCCGCCCGCGTGCTTCGCGTCGCACGCGCCGGCGGCCGCGGCGGCGGCCGCCGCCGCCTCGGCCTCCGCGCGGGTGCGGTCCTCCTCGGCTTCGAGCTCGAGGAGCAGCTGGCGGCTGCGCGCCTCGCGCGCCTGGGCGGCGGCGGCCTCGATCGTGGCGCGGGTAAAGTCCAGGGCCGCGTTGGTGATCTCATAGGTGAGGTCGACGCTGCGGGTGATGGGCAAGTGTGCGTGAGTGATCATGAATGTGATTGCGTGTGAGTGTGTGTGTGTGTGTGTGTGTGTGTGTGCACGCGCGCGCACATGAACACACGTGTGCGCGTGCACATGGACACATGTGTGCGCATGCTTGTGTGCGTGCAACAGCACATAAGAAGCCTGGACCGCAACTCCACTTCCACATCAAGAGGCCACCCCTTCGCATCGCGGCTGCACACCCATGTGCAGCACTGCCCAGAGGCCTGGCGCCCCGCGCGCCGTTCCCCCGCACGCCGCGAGCCCGCCGCCGCGACCCGCTCACCACCCCAGCTCCTGCAGCTTGGACAGCACGTCCGCCCGCTCGTCTTCCAGCGCTCGCACGGCCGCCTCGTACTCCGACACGCGGCCCCGCGCCCACTTTGACGCCCGCACCAGCAGCCCGTACTGCCGGGAAATCGCGCCGTGCGGGCTGTACTGTCCCTTGAACAGCTTGACCGACTCTGACGCCCACAGCACGCGATACAGGAGGCACTCCAGCCGCTGCGCGCGCGCGCTCCACGCCTGCTCCCCTGCGGCCACGCAGCCGCCCAGTGCGGCGGCGGCGCCGCCGGCCGCCGCCGCCGCCGGCTGCTCCAGCTGCGCGTTGAGGTCTTCGAGGTTCTTGCGCCGCGCGGCGATCTGCTTCGCCTGATCCCTCACCCTAGCCAGCTCCGCGCCCGCCTCGGACAGGGCGGCGCCCGCCGCCGCTGCCTCGGCCTCGTCGGCCGCGATCAGCCCCCGCGCGGCCTCGACGCGCGCGGCCGCGTCAGCAGCCTTCTCCCGGTGCTCGGCCTCCTTTGTCGCTTTGTCCAGGCTGTCGCGCTTGCGGTGCGGCGCAGGGCCGTCCGCGGCGAGCCGCGCGTGCTCCGCCTCGGCCGCCGCGAGCTCGAGCCGCTGCCGCGCGAGCCTGTCGGCGGCGGCGGCCTGGC